CGCTAAACGAGCTTTATACCTCTCCACGGTTCCATCAGCCCCATGCTTGACTGTGAACACCCATTTACATCCAACTGGATTCTTACCCCTAGGAAGATCAACAAGTTCCCACGTTCCATTTTTATGAAGGGCATTAATTTCTTCCTTCATGGCATTTGTCCATTCTGGTACTGAAAGAGCTTCTGCCACATTATTGGGAATAGGGACACTGTCAATGGAGGTAAGGAAGGCACAAAATGAGGGTGAAATGTTCTCATAGGAAACAAAGTTGGAAATGGGATGTTTAGTGGTGCACAACCTAACACCTTTCCTATGGGCAATAGGAAGGTCAAGATCATTAGCAACAGAGGAGTCAGAAACATCATTGGGAGTCAAGTTACCTGAGTGGGTATGATCTTCCCTCGAGGAGTTTGATGGCACTTGAGGTACAGCTTCTGGATTCTCCACAATTCTTAAATTTGGTTGGCCTTTGCGACGATGATAAAAGACACGGAAATGTGGAGGATCGGGAAGAGAAGGAAACTGAACCAGTTTCTCCTCATGCCTACACTCCCCTTGAGGAGAAAGAGGAAAAAAAGGCTCATTTTCAAAGAAAGTAACATCCATGGAGACATGGAATTTCCGAGAAATAGGATTAAAGCAACGATACCCCTTTTGAGTGAAAGAGTAAGCAAGAAATATGCACGGGATAGCACGAGAATCCAATTTCCCACGGGTGGGAGACAGATTTTGGACAAAGCACCGACAACCAAATACACGAAGGAGGGGTATAAAGAAGAGGGGCCTTAGGGAAGAGAAGCTGATGCGAGGCTTTGTTCTCTAACCAACGAGAGGGCATTCGGTTAATGAGGTATGTAGAACAAAGGACAACCTCAAACCAAAAATGTTTGGGGACATTCATATGAAGTAGTAAACCCCGAGCCACTTCAAGGAGGTGTCGGTTCTTCCGTTCAACCACACCATTTTGTTGTGGTGTGCGGGCACAAGAGCTACGATGAAGTGAGCCATGTGAAGCAAAGAACTCCGTGAGATCACTATGAAAAAACTCTTTTGCATTGTCTAACTGGAAAATTTGTATCTCAGTCTGAAATTGGGTGAAGACCATCCGCTGAAAGTCTTGGATAATTTTTGGTACTTCCTCCCGGGTTCGCATTGGATAATTTTTGGTACTTCCTCCCGGGTTCGCATTGGTACTTCAATGAAGGTAATGAAGTACTTATAGCCACTCTCAGAAGGTAAAGTAACAGGGCCCCATACATCAGAATGAACAATGTGAAAAGGAAACTCAGATTTACTATTTTTCTGAAGAAAATGAGTTCTACAATGCTTGCTTAACTGACACATTTGACAAGAGAAATCAGAAACAGACATTGACTTACACAGTTCTGGGAATACAACTTTTAAGGACTCAAAAGACAAATGACCAAGACGGCAATGCCATAAATACACTTTACTCTTTCTGAACTGACTCATAGACTCTGTAACATGAAGACCAGCCGTATTCCCCAGCATGTAGAGTCCAACCATACGTCCCCTACCAATCGTCCTCCCCGAGGCCAGATCCTGAATCAAACAATAAGAAGGGAAAAAGGTCACAGAGCAGTTTAAGGAATTAGTAACACTACTAGCTGAGAACAAATTCATGGGAAATTTTGGAACATGAAGAACATCAGGAAGTGTAAGACCAAGAGGAAGAGAGAGAGTTCCCTGACCAGCTATGGAAGTGTATGATCCATCAGCTAGTCTCACTTTATCTCTTCTGGAAAGAGGGTGATAAGTTTGAAAGTAAGAGGGCATACCAGTCATGTGTTTTGATGCTCCAGAATCAATGATCCGTGGAGAGTCAAGGTTGTGAGAAGCAACATGGAAAGCTGTGGCAGGATTGCCTGACGTGGATGCAAATGAGGTTGTGGGAGGACCATCCATCTGGCGAATTGTTCTACCATAAAGCTCCAGATGGTCACGGAAGGAGTTTACAATATCCTCCCTTGGGTCAGATCCAGAGTAGCTATGTTGGCCATGTGGTGTTTGAGTTACAGTAGAAGTGGAGGGCTGATTCTCCCGAGTAACCATGTTGGCCATGTGGTGTTTCTTGGTACCTTGTTGCCTGAGCCTTTTAATCACATCTGAACCTTGCTTCTTAGGCAGATCTTGAGCCCATTTTGGTTTCCCATGAAGATCCCAACAAGTATCTTTGGTGTGCCGGGGCTTCTGACAGTTAGTGCACCACAATTTCTCCTTATCTTCTGTTTTCTTCTGGAGATCCCCTCTCCTGGAAGAAGATCCACCACTAGTAGAGGCACCCCCTTTTGCCGCCAACACAATTGCATCCCCTTCGGTATTGTTCATCAAGTTTCTCCTTCTCTCTTCAGACTGGACAAGAGCATAGACCTCCTGAATTGATGAAAGATCCTTAGAACTGAGAATTTGTACTCTGATGGATTCATAGATAGGATTGAGACCATGCAAAAAGGCAAACACTCTTTGCTGTGAGACGAGTTTCTTATACAATTTGGCATCTTCATCACACTTCCAATCAATATCCTGGTAATGGTCCAACTCCTTCCAAACAGAGGTCAAGTCATAGTAATAAACTGATAAACTTCTCTCCCCCTGTTG